AATAAGAATCATATTGGTAATTGATAAAATTCAATTAATTAACTATTTAATTTGCCCTATTAAAATACATTTCATTACTTAAATTTAATTCAGAAATTTCGTCATTTAATATTCTACTTGTATGATATGCTGATGGTGTGACTTGTGAATTTGTTGCAGGGTTGGCAAATTGACTGGTCCATTGGCATTAATAAAACACTAAATATAATTATAATGGACCCAATGGATCAACAATGGATAACACATTTGCCAACCCTGATTTGTTGTGAATTACTATTATTATTATTATCATTACTACTACTGCTGCTACTGCCACCAATATTAAATATTACGAAAAAAGCTAACACAATACACAATTTAAAGTTTAAATGCCAAACCATAACTCATAGTTGTTTGCCTTTTGGATTGCCAATAAAAAAAGTCAGAGCTCAGAACAACGAAGCACAGATGAGTTATGGTCACTCAGGTAGGTCACAATAGGACCCCACAAACTTCATAGATGGGGTTAGTAACAAAATCCCCTGTTTGTCATATGATTTACCCAGACCAAAATATATGACTTGACCCCAAGGTTTGCAATAACATTAGAAAAAAGAACATAATTTGACCTATAATATATGCTAACATTAAAATTTTTAAAACTGTCTACTGTAACGAAATTAAATTTACCAATCAATTGATTTAACTAAATGATTTACTATATATAAATTATTTTGAATGAGCGAGCAAAAAAATTGTTATACAAATTTTTTTGGATCCCTTAATAGATTTGACCCTATTAAAAATATATTGACCCACTGCGGAGTTTCAAATTTATCAGTCAAATTTTTATGCACAGTAAGATTTTTCAAAAAATTCTATTGTATATAAATGCTCAAGGGAATTAAAAAGAGCAAGTCTGTTGTCAAGGGTCGTTTGTGGATTTTTGATCAGCTTTTCCTCAAGAAGTTTGTTATTTTTCCATCTGTCCTGTCTCCAAACAGCTGCCTCTCCCAAGGTTTGTTATGAGACGTTGCTCAGCTTTTGGCCCATTTGAGAAAAAAAATTTTTTTCTGGAGGATTATAATAATAATATATTTATAATCTCAAAAAAATTATCAATTCTTTGATATATTCATATTTTACTATAAAAAGGAAAAATTTCCGCCTTTGCTCGATAATCGTGTTGTGTTTCTAATCAGCAAGTATTGCTATAATAAATAAAAATCATAGACAGGTATTCGTTGATAAGGAAAATACCCATGGCACTAATTTATGCATTATCTTTATTTTTGTTGCTATAATTATTTAAATGGAGTTCTGCTGTCTGGAAACGGGTAGAGATGTTAGTTTGTGCAAGTAAAAAAGGTCCATAAAAACACTACAAATTTTAAAATCAAATATCAATACATAATTCTTGACAATTTAGGAATATCAATTTGATTATTTATTCCATTTTATTCGAATCGATCAATTTATTTGTTTATTGGATGATTGAATGAACCTTGGATAACATTTTCAAACGTTAATATTATTAGTAGTAATATAAAGTTAGTTAAACAATAACCCTTTACATAATGATTACATAAATTGATTGATTCAGGCAACAATAGAAATTTGAACTTAAAAAAAAGACATATCACAAATCAGCATATCTAAAAGTACAAAATATTGCCTACCGCCTGATTCAATTGGTAAAATTCAGTCATGTCCCATCGAATATAAAGACATTCGTGTCACATAAACAATAAAAACAATG